CATTCATGTATGTTTATTCTAGGCGTTTAGTGTTTATGAAGCGTGGTCATTAGTTTCCAACCTAAAGGGGAAAAAAGGAAAAGAAAAACACCAAGAGCAAATGGGTTGTTGATTCCTGGGGGGAGGGAGCGAGGGAGGGGAGGGTCCTGAATGGTGAGAATATTCCCATTAACATCCCTTCCAAAATGTCCACTCAAAATCCTGTGGTCTGACATAGACGGTCCTCTCTGATCAGTTTTTCAGATATGTCTTGTCTGCCCAGAGAAGAGATGACTCACGAAGAGGTGTCTCTCAGAGTCCAAGAATTAATATTCTTATTCAAGAATAACCTGAGAAAAGCAGAGAATATGCCAAAATGAGTAATGTTTATTTCAACCTGATTGTGTCCTTTCTCTGAGTCCCTGCATGCTGTGTCTCTGAATCAAACTACCGAATCAGAGTAGGTCTTTAATTGGGATGAATTTGGAAAGTCATTTAGTAGAAAAATTCAATGACACTTTTCAAAATGCACTAATTATCAATTTAACACTCTACTTATCTCAGGTTCATGATACAAGAGAGTCCTTTTATTACACATTAAGGAACAAAAGAACCATCATGGCCTCAGGCCAGAATAAAAAAGTTTAATGGTGAATGAAGGAAGAATATCACCATTTTGTTCAAGCAGCTTTCTAGAAACACATTTTAGTAAAGTTTGTCCCAATGTGTCTTTTTCCCGGTTCTGTAAATGAAAATTAAAATGAACGATTCTGTGGCACAAAAACAGACACATAGACCAATGGAATAGAATAGAAACCCCAGAACTAGACCCACAAACGTATGGCCAACTCATCTTTGACAAAGCAGGAAAGAACATCCAATGGAAAAAAGACAGTCTCTTTAACAAATGGTGCTGGGAGAACTGGACAGCAACATGCAGAAGGCTGAAACTAGACCACTTTCTCACACCATTCACAAAAATAAACTCAAAATGGATAAAGGACCTGAATGTGAGACAGGAAACCATCAAAACCCTAGAGGAGAAAGCAGGAAAAGACCTCTCTGACCTCAGCCGTAGCAATCTCTTACTCGACACATCCCCAAAGGCAAGGGAATTAAAAGCAAAAGTGAATGACTGGGACCTTATGAAGATAAAAAGCTTCTGCACAGCAAAGGAAACAACCAACAAAACTAAAAGGCAACCAACGGAATGGGAAAAGATATTTGCAAATGACATATCGGACAAAGGGCTAGTATCCAAAATCTATAAAGAGCTCACCAAACTCCACACCCGAAAAGCAAATAACCCAGTGAAGAAATGGGCAGAAAACATGAATAGACACTTCTCTAAAGAAGACATCCGGATGGCCAACAGGCACATGAAAAGATGTTCAGCGTCGCTCCTCATCAGGGAAATACAAATCAAAACCACACTCAGATATCACCTCACGCCAGTCAGAGTGGCCAAAATGAACAAATCAGGAGACTATAGATGCTGGAGAGGATGTGGAGAAACGGGAACCCTCTTGCACTGTTGGTGGGAATGCAAATTGGTGCAGCCGCTCTGGAAAGCAGTGTGGAGGTTCCTCAGAAAATTAAAAATAGACCTACCCTATGACCCAGCAATAGCACTGCTAGGAATTTATCCAAGGGACACAGGAGTACTGATGCATAGGGGCACTTGTACCCCAATGTTCATAGCAGCACTGTCAACAATAGCCAAATTATGGAAAGAGCCTAAATGTCCATCAACTGATGAATGGATAAAGAAATTGTGGTTTATATACACTATGGAATACTACGTGGTAATGAGAAAAAATGAAATATGGCCTTTTGTAGCAACGTGGATGGAACTGGAGAGTGTGATGCTAAGTGAAATAAGCCATACAGAGAGAGACAGATACCATATGGTTTCACTCTTATGTGGATCCTGAGAAACTTAACAGGAACCCATGGGGGAGGGGAAGGAAAAAAAAAAAAAAAAAAAAAAAAAAAAAAAAAAAAAAAAAAAAAAAGTTGAGAACTGAGACCAAACTGAGGGTTGATGGGGGGTGGGAGGGAGGAGAGGGCGGGTGATGGGTATTGAGGAGGGCACCTTTTGGGATGAGCACTGGGTGTTGTATGGAAACCAATTTGACAATAAATTTCATATATAAATAAAAAAAATAAATTAAATAAATAAAATAAAATGAACGATTCTGGTTCTATTTTCTGTATGGGGGATGTTGAGTGCGAAGTTCTCCCAGTTTGGATCCAGTGGTCTTGAGTTACAGAATTATTTTACTCAAGAAAACCCCAGGGCCACTGTCCAAGGTGTACCTTCCCCCAACAAGGGTCCTTCCCCCAACAAGGGTCCTTCCCCCAACAAGAGTCCCAAAGCAAGAAGCAGACCTATTTGGAAGAGATGTGTTTAGAAGACACCACCAGATTCTGTCCAAAGGGAGAAAGAGAAAGTAAACAAACATCTTCCAGCGATCAAAACCCCAGATAAGACCAGAAAGGGGGATTTCTCAGCTCCTTAAAAAAGCTCTTTAAAAGAAAAACGGGGAATGGGGTGCCTGGGTGGCTCAGTCAGTTAAGCATCTGACTTGAGCTCAGGTCATGATCTCACAGTTCGGGGGTTCGAGCCCCACGTTGGGCTCTGTGCTGACAGCTCGGAGCCTGGAGCCTGCCTCGGATTCTGTGTCTCCCTCTCTCTCCCTGCCCCTCCCCTATTTGTGCTCTATCTCTCTCTCTCAAAAATAAATAAACATTTAAAAAAAATTTTTTTTAAGAAAAATGGGAATGCAACCAATGAAGATTCATGTGGTCCTTGTGGCGGGTGGTGACATCACAGATTTCCCATTCCCAGATTGAGGTTTAATGGGTCAGAATACAGGTTATAAAACTGATGAGAAACCTTCAATGGATCCTTCACCCTCCAGACAAGATCTCTTCAGAAATCCACTTGCTCCAAGAGATAACCTTGATCAAGGCACAGCTGCGTAAAACGTACGTACAGCTGTATTGTCAAGTGGTAAGATGAGGATAAAAAAAGTGTATATCTGAGGAACACTCATATAAATACATAGGAAACTAAATCGACGTAGAAGACATTGAAGAAACGAAGACGGGTCTATAGTCGAGAGCTGGCTTTTTGAATGTCAACACTTGGGAAAAACGAAATGGAGACTTTTCACAACATTACAGGAAACACAATAAATTTGGAGGAAAATAAACATTTGGAAGAACAAAAACTTCTAATTGGAGTCATTCCTCCAGTACAGTATTTTTTTTTAAGTTTATTTATTTATTTTGAGAGAGAGAGAGAGAGAGAGAGAGAGAGGAGCTCGAGCAGGGAAGGGGCAGAGAGAGAAAGAGAGAGAGAATCCCAAGCAGAGCTATCAGTGAGCACAGAGCCCAACAGGGGGCTCAAACCCATGAACCATGAGATCATGACCTGAAAGGAAACCAAGAGTCAATGCTTAACCAACTGAGCCACCCAGGAGGCCCTACCTTTAAGCTTTGGAACTTCTTTTACTGGGAATGCATGGGTAGCTCAGGTGGTTAAGCATCTGACTTTGGCTCGGGTCATGATCTCACAGTTTGTGGGTTTGAGCCCCACGTTGGGCTCTGTGCTATCAAATCAGAGCCTGGAGCCTGCTTCGGATTCTCTCTCTCTCTCTCTCTCTCTCTCTCTCTCTCTCTCCCCCCCCTCCCGCCCCTCCCCCACTTGTGCTCTCAAAAATAAACATTTGGGAAAAAAGTGTAAAGCCACATTGACCTCCAAATAGGAAGAGAATCTTAAGAGTAGTAATTATCTTGCTTATAGTTTTGAAAATCAGTACAGGAAACAATGAGTTCTCTCCAAACTGGGAGGCCAAAGAAACATTTCCTTCATGTGGGCTGTGCTGCCCAGATGAAGACTCCAGAATCTGTTTTACTGAGTGTTCAGGATTCACAGTCCCACTGGCGGTCCCAGTTGTAGCACCCACCCATGACCAGATGGACTGGGCGGAAAAGCCCTGATGTAGCCGCATCCTCTTGAGAAGACTTTCTCCAGTCTGGAAAGAAGGTGGCAACATCAGTGTTCTCATGGCTCACACACAGTGGTTGCTATAAACACCACATCAGAATGAAAACTTAGGGCTAGCAGCCCTGTATTGTTTTCCAGAAATAAGCTGTAAGGGAACACAGTTCTTACAGCTCAGACGGAGGAATTATTGCAATGAGGCTTGTCTGAATATGAACATGGGCTCTAGGGAGGGAGGGAGGGAGGGAGGGAGGAGGGAAGGATGGGAGGCAGGAAGGGAATAGGGACCAGATCTCCAAAGGAGGCTTGGTCATAACAAGATGGAGGCAGGGAGGAAGCATAATGTTGATGGGGTAATATTTTAAATTTTTTTAATGTTTATTTATTTTTGAGAGAGAGAAAGAGTGCAAGCAGGGGAGGGGCAGAGAGAAAGGGGGAGACACAGCTGTGATCTGAAGCAGGCTCCGGGCTCTGAGCTGTCAGCCCAGAGCCCCATGCAGGGCTGGAACTCCTGAACTGTGAGACCATGACCTGAGCCGAAGTCCTTAACCGACCGAGTCACCCAGGCACCCCTCCTCGTTCATTCATTCTTACTCTGTGCCGGACATAGTGCTACACCCTGGGAATAGCTGATTGCTATTCCAGTGGCGAGGGAGGAAGGACTGTGTAAGATTCTCGGCGGCAGGGAACTTCCATGACGTCCCTTCTCCAGAGGGATGTCTCTGCAGAGTTATCAGCGGGAGGGTAGAGTCAAGCTGGGCTTCCTCCCCTGGGTGTGCACAGGTCCAAGGACACAGCATGGTACAAACACGGTCAGTGAAGGGTGGCATCGCTGTCCGCCCACTACCCCAAGGTCACCCGGGGAGCTGCCGGGTCTCACCACGCAGCAGGGGTCCGCGCGGGGCTCCTCGCGGGGCTCCTCGCGCGGGGCTCCTCGCGCGGGGCTCCTCGCGCAGCACGCCCCGTCCCGACGCCGCGCTCTTGACCGCAACCGCAGCGTTAGAACCGCGCGAGGTGGGGGATGAGGGGCACAACCGAGGAAGCAGCGCCCCACCCGGCTCCCCGGGCTGGGAGGCCCCGAATTGAGGGTTCCACCTGCAGGATCACGCACCTCTGGCCCTGTGCTCAAGGCATGCCGTCGGTGTAGGCAGCCTTGGCCGGGTTGCCTCTCCGTCACGCTGAACCGGACGGAGGTCGCCAGGCCCTGGACTGCCTCGTCCTGGGTTCTCGCGTCGCTGGGAATGTTGGACGGGTAACACTACTTGAGCGGAGAAGATCCATGCTCTCCCTACGCCCCCATTCGGACGGCTGGGGGACTTACCACGCTCTGCCTGGGAGAATCTTCGGTCCCTAGAAGTAAGTAATGGCCGGAGGGAAAGTTGACCTTGTGACTCCTGCAGTTCTCAGGCTCCACCCAGTTCGGGTTCCTGTTTGAAACCGTTTGCTTTCTCTTTTTATCCTAATGCTCCACATCTTCATAATGAGAGATTCTTGAGTCTCGGCTTCAGCTGTTTTGTGTGGTCAGTGTTTTATCACCTTGAGGGGTGTCTGCAGGGTCCCCCAAGGGAATTGTGTATGTCCCCATAGCTTAGATGGAAGTCACCCAGCGGCAGACATGCCGTCCAGATGTGATGAAAGGCTATGTCGAGTTTGAGCTTGCTTTTTAGGGCAGTAATAATAATAATACAATCATGGCTATATTCTATACTTACTACGTGCCAAACGCCTTTCTAATTTCCTTCTCTTTAAAAAAAGTTTTTTTTAACGCTTATTTATTTTTGAGAGGGACAGACAGAGCAGGAGCAGGGGAGGGGCAGAGAGAGATGGGGAGACACAGAACCTGAAGCAGGCTCCAGGTTCTGAACTGTCAGCACAGAGCCTGTCGCGGGACTCAAACTCACCAACCATGAGATCATGACCTGAGCCGAAGTTGGATGCTTAATGGACTGAGCCTCCCAGGCGCCCCTCTTTCCCTTTAATATTGACTTCATGAATGGTATAAGCCCACATACCATATACTAAGAATTGTCACCTAAAATACCGTGAAATGAAAGTCAGTTCAGTTATGTTTGCAGAACACGCGGACATTTGTTTGTATGATACAGTTATTCAGCAATCATTGAGCTCCTAAAATGTGCCCTCTACTGTGCTTAATGCACAGGGTTACTGAGTAGTCTATATGTTAATACATGTATAGAACTTAGAAAAGTACCCGGCAGGGTGAGCACTCAGTCATTTTTAACTTCCTTTTTTCTTTATATTTCCTGGGGTACCAGCAGTTTTAACAGATACTGTTTTTATTTTTTAAGATTTAATTTTAAGCAATCCCATCGTCCAACATGGGGCTCAAGCTTACAACCGGGATCGAGAGTCACGTGCTCTACTGACTGAGCCAGCCTGGTGCCCCCCGATAGTTTCTAAACATACTGGGGGTTGCAAATAATCTTAGCAGACCCAAAAGAAAAATAAAGTGTCTCAGTCCAAGCAAGGTTACAGTATATGGGTTGTCAGATCCTGGATCGCTGGTGGAGTTATAGGATCTGGTTCAGCAGCCCAAAGTTACTTATATTTGAGCACCCGTCATCAAACTGAGTCTCTTCGGAAAGTGAGTCTCTGTTACAGCACAGGACATTTAGTTCCGTGGCTCTCACATGAATAAGAAAAGCTTTCAGTTTTGCTTAGCCGTCACCTCCTACCCCTACTTTATCCCACCATTACAGGTCACTGACCTGGCCGACTGTAATAATTGGAAATGTATGAATGCCCTCTTAAACTTTCATTGTAATATGCACAATCATCTAGGGTTTACACTGAATAAGTGATGGCAGGCTGAGTCTGAGCGTTAATTCTCTTCTGTGGGACATTTGGCTAATTGATTGTCTTGAAATGCAGCGTGGACCTATCCTTGAACTCGCGATTGTTTGGAAATAACATTCGGTGCTAATTTCTGCCCTTCTTTTTTTTTTACCTGGGAAATGAATGAAACCTGTAGTGACAAACAACTGTTTGATGCCCCTGACACTGAAAATAACCACCAGTGGACCGTAGAGCTGACACGTTATATTCGAGTACATCTTTCATATGTATTCGTGTATGTCTTTATATGTCATCTATGTCTCTATACACTAATTTGTGCTTTAAAAATGGATATCCACTAAAAAGGAGAAAGGAAATACATATATGCACATTTTCACTTTCCTACCACTTCAAATCAGTGAAAATTGAAATGCATCCTAACATGTCCACATCTTGTAGGTGTCCTAATCATCTTTAGTAACACTTTAAGTTTTCTCTTTTGTGTATCATGATGAATTTGTGGCCTTTTGTAGACAGGTCCTTTGAAATGATGATGATTTTTATTCTTTTTGGGGGGGCGGTATTCAAATGGCCTCAACTTAGCCCGTGAGAGCCCATGAACCTGGTTTCTTTGTCTTTTGGGCACTGTTTCTAACATTCTCAACAGCATCCTTGCTTTCTTTCAAGAAGAAGATGTCCGGACACATGATGTTTTTCTACAGCAACAACCTTCCTGATTCCTTGTGCAAGAAAAGACAACTGGAGAACCAAGCACGAGCACTAGGGTTACACGTGAGAGTACACAGTGACCAAAAGCTCTATTTCTGTTGGACACATTTTGGGAACCACGCTAGAAATGATATTTATTTTGGAAGCGGTCTGGGTTCACACTGATTCTTTTTGTTTGAGACTTTATTGACTATCAAAACTCTCTACTCTATCGATTACATCTGAATTTGTGGAATCCAGCCATATTTCCCGGAAGTGAGTCCCTCTTTTGCTGTCTTTGCCATCCACCCTTCCCCCTCATACTAACAGTATTCTCTGCAAAACTGTAGCCCCAGTCACGTCGGTCAGCCCAGGGCCACCAGACAGATCTTTCTCCCAAAACTTTATGCCTGCAGCTGCAGCATAGAGGGTTGGCTCGGTCCCAGCCTTGTCTTTTTATTTTTTTTTATTTTTTATTTTTTTTTTTCAACGTTTATTTATTTTTGGGACAGAAAGAGACAGAGCATGAATGGGGGAGGGGCAGAGAGAGAGGGAGACACAGAATCGGAAACAGGCTCCAGGCTCTGAGCCATCAGCCCAGAGCCCGACGCGGGGCTCGAACTCACAGACCGCGAGATCGTGACCTGGCTGAAGTCGGACGCTTAACCGACTGCGCCACCCAGGCGCCCCCAGCCTTGTCTTTTTAAACAGCCATTTCCTCCATGTAATTTCTCTCCAGTTCTCTCTTCCTTTGTTTAACCAACACAAGGGCAAGCCACTACATCTGCTGGAAAACAGACACCAGGAGGTGCGTTAAAGCTAGTCTCACAAGCACACTCATACTCCGAGTGTGATTACTGTATCTTCCCATAGCTTTACCACCATGTCATTTCCCAAAATTCTGTCTTCTCTCCCCTCCCCCTCCTCTTATATCGCCCAGCGGTATTGGTTGGTGCCAGGGTATCAGATACAGTAGCCACAACATTTCAGGCTTGTAAGGACAAATATTTATTTTTCACTTGTGGGAGTTTTGTCCAATGCTGCAGGTCAGTTATGGGCCTGCCTCTGTATGACTTCCTTCTGGAATCCGCACTCACGTACAGCCAATCCTGGGAGATGATGTCCTCACAACAGAGGGAAATGATAGGAACTTCCAAGACCTCGGTAGGTTTGGGCTCAGGCTTGGCTTGTGTCCTGGCCTTCACCTTGGACCGGTCAAAACACGTTCCAAGGTCACATCCAATATCAGCGAGGTAGAGAGATATATTCTTTCCATGGAGTGGACCGTGGACACTGCAAGGCATACGGCAACATGTGAAGGTGTATAACTCTGTAACAAAGGGAAAACGCCAATTGGAGACAATAATTCAGTTGACCATAGCTGCCAACCTTTCCCACCAAAAGCCCTTGGAGAAGGCTACGGGACAGAGCCTCTGGCAATTTTGTCGATTTAAGATGCAAAATACTGCCTTTTGTTGTAAGCTTTAATACCTAGCCATTATTCTGGAACACTATGAAAATTCTCACTGGATGTTCATCCTCTTACACTTGTTTTAACTAAAATAAAGAGGAATTTGTCTTAAAGATGCAGGTGTGTTTCGTAGATAGGTCTAGGAAAGCTACTAGAATCAGGGAGGTGCGAACCATTAGAGATTTTTAGGGAGTCCTCTCACTCCATGTCTTTACTCTGGGTGTTCTCTACTCTTCTTTCCGAGCCCAGAACGGGACTATATCACCTTGGTGCTAAACATAACTTCCTGGGAAGGGAACTCTGATTGGCTCAATCAGAATAAGATGCCCACATCTTTTTTTTTTTTTTAATGTTTATTTATTTTTGAGACAGAGAGAGACAGAGCATGAATGGGGGAGGGTGAGAGAGAGAGGGAGACACAGAATCGGAAGCAGGCTCCAGGCTCTGAGCTGTCAGCACAGAGCCCGACACAGGGCTCGAACTCACAGACTGCGAGATCACGACCTGAGCCAAAGTTGGATGCTTAACTGACCGAGCCATCCAGGCGCCCCAAGATGCCCACATCTTATCCAAGCAACTATGGCTAGATTGAGAGACATTCTTGTGAAGACCAAACATGGCAGCCAGAAACCCTAACTTGGGTGACCCTAGGGATTTGTAGGAGGAGGTAATTCCTAGAAAAGGTGAAAATAATGGGAGTGGGGCACTGACACCAAAAGGTAACAACTCAGTCTCATTTAAAGACCAGGAAGGAAGCGTAACACCTGAGAAGTAGCTCTTGGTCTTTGACAGGAAGTTACTAGGTACGTAACAAAGAGTGATATAAGTGGGTTGATTCAAATCTTCTTTCAAGGAACGTAGTGTAAAAGTAGAGTCTGCACTATGAAGTGCCTTTTCTCAAAAATAATTAGTTTGTTTTTTCTCTATATTTCTCTACAGAAAAAGAGTCCATTCACCCTCTACAATTTCTATACCGTATCTTCATTAAAATGTCAGAAGGATACACCCTAAAATTGGAGACCAGAGCACTGGGGGTAAGGACTAAGTGCTACTTAGGTTAATAAATGGTGAGTGTTCCATCTTCCTAACATAAAAGGGAAGAGACATTGGCCACATCCACCATGAACTCCCCAAAGGAAGGAAAGTTGATTAAAGTGTTCTGAGGCTATAGCTAATGGGACACAAATTACGGATCCACAAACCATTTCTGAATAGGTCAACCACGCCACGACCTATTTTAGCAAATACGCTCTGAGATGGGTTATGAATCTCATAAGCAATGAGAAGGTCCATTTTCTGCCTTTGTTTGTAAACAGGTCAAAACAAACTTATAGATCATAAATGAGGTGGTTGGACTCAGGCAATGGACCCCAAACCAGAAGGGGCTGGAGACACTGGAGCTCTGCGGCCAGTGGCCATTTGATAACATTGGGCTCAAAACATGCTCCCCTTATATTTAGCTCTGAGGTCATATTGCGTATGTGTTCTCCCTCTCACTTCTCCTAAAGCTTAGAATGCTATACCCTTTTGTATCACGCGCTAATATCTGTGGGGGCTCGAAACATTTCAGGATAAGCCAGCAAAATTAAAGCATGGCCTAGGAAAATTCCCAACATAACAAGTCTATGATTATCTCCAGCTGGCTGGAAGCGATTTGGCCCACTGCCAGAACGCAGGGTACAATTGAATGTAGCAGAGCCTCGTGTATGGGGGGACAGGAAGGAGGGGCTGCTGGTGTTCTCTCTACCTCATCCCCCCTTGCCATGGTGTTTTACCGCTGGATTGCTTGCTCCTTGTCTCTGTATCTGGCCTGGACGGCAGTCATGGCAATATGTGGGAGAAGGTATAGGCCTGTCACTGGCCATCCACTGACCTACCAGTAAGATCCACCACCTGAGAGAAGATAAAGGGGTTAGGATCTTCTACTGGGTGCCTCCTACTAAACCCTCCTGAGCCTCCCACTGAACTCAAGAGTAAGTCAGTGGATTCATGGCCCAGAAAGGAGTTGATTCAGAAGAGTGTGGCAATAGTGGGCAAGTCCATGGGATCCCGTCCCAAACTGCCACCCCCCATGTGCCAGATCCAGGCAAGGGTCACCAGTAAATGCGTGGTTTTGTGTTGTCTCAAAGTAAACTTCAAGGGAGAGGAGGATCATCACCCAATAGCCACTTCTTGTCTTTCTGTGACAGTTAATTTTATGTGTCAACTTACCTGCGTCACAGGGTGCCCAGGTATTTGGTCACATTATTTTGGGTGTTTTTGTGACTGTGTTTTTATTATTTATTTATTTATTTATTTATTTATTTATCTATTATTTTCAAGTATAGTTGATGCACAGTGTCACATGAGTCTCAGGTGTACCACATGGTGATTGGACAAGTCTATACCTAATGCTCTGCTTGCTGCAAACGTAGCCGGCATCTTTCACCATGCAACATTATAATACCATTGACTATATTCCCTGTGCTGTCCCTTTTATTCCTGTGACTTATTCATTCCATAACTGGAAGCCTGTGTCTCCCCCACCCTCTTACCCATTTTGCCCAGCCCCACCACCTCCTGCAAAGGTGGCTTTTTTAGAGGAGATTAACATTTAAATCAATGAACTTTGAGTCAGGCAGATTGCCTTCCATACTGTTGGTGGGCCTCATCCAATCAGGGGAAGGCCTGGCTAGAATGAGAGGCTGACCTTCCCTGCCTGCTTCAGGGGTTGCAGGCGCCCTTGTCACTGCTGTGTGTGTACGTGGCCCTGCTCCATCTGGAGAATAAGGCCTGGCTCCACACATGGCCCCTGAGAATACTTAAGAGTTATAGAAAATCAGAGGTCACAGGAGAGGCTTCCTTCATGCTTTTCTGAACAGAGCCAAGGGCTGTGGTCCAGGGCGTAATTACAAAAGTCAGCACAGAGTATGAAAGTGAGCAGAGCAACAGGTAACTGAAGCTTAATTCCGCAACAAGCGAGGATGAAAGAATGAGGGCAAGGTCAAAAAGTACCTTTTTGGGTTCGTGGTGGAGGATGAGAACTCATCTGCGAGCTAGAGTTGATCTCACAGATCCAATGGTAGGAAGGAGAGGGGTGTCGAGGCAGAGCCTGAGAGATCCCCAGGGCCAACAGCCCTCCCTTTGGTCACGTGTCCTCCTGAACCAAACAGACAAATAGACTTCTGCTCTTTATTTAACAGGAACCAGCTAGAAAATTAAATATCTCTGAAGATTTCTATGAAACCAAAACAAATACTCTCGGTTTAAATAAATGTGGAGACCTCCCCCTCCATTCGTGGCTGCCCTTTTCTTCTCTGACACATAATTCTTTCATTGCAACTTCAGAAATACCGGGATAAGCTGGATATTGCCATGACCTTTCAGTCATCGTATTGTAATCATCTGTGGTAGATTTGACTCGAGTAATAACAATGGCTCTCTCTTCTCACAGGCCGTGCAAATCATGAATGGCCTGTTTTACTGCGCGTTGGGCTTTCTCTGTTTTGCATTATTTGTCGAAGAAGAGAACAGAGAAGCTACTGGTTATATCCCTGTCATTGTTACACTAACTTACGTATTTTGTTCATCAACATTTGTGAGTAAAACGTGGTGTTATTGATTTTAACTTATTTCTTTTTTCTAACGTATCCAGGGAATTACTCAAGAGATCAAGCAATGAGCTAAAGACTCAGTCAATGTCTGACTCTAAGGAGCTCATTTTACTATGGAAACAAAATGGTGGGCAGGAATGGAGAGTAGATACTCAGGAAAAGTCTTTTTATGTTCGTTGCGCATTTTGATAAGTTCCTTGCGAGGGTGAGGGTGTGCGGGCAGAAAAGATTTTGAAGGAGTATGCTTGAAGAACAATAGAGAGAGTGACTATAAGGCTTTTTGGGGGATGGGGGAGGAGAGGCAGAGTGAAAATCCAAAGGTCTGAGCTTAATGTTTGGGGCTATAGTGATTTTTAGGGAGGTTACGTACGGAAAGAAAAGGGTCATGAGAGAGCCGTCAAGAATTTGGGGAAATGAAAACAGAGATTTCTTTTTCTGTTTTTCATTCATACTTTTATTTATTTATCAGTTAGAAAGGTAGTATACCGTAGAATGGGATTCCCCAATATGTGTGCCACAGAACACGAGTACCACAAGATAGTCTGCGCAGAAGGAGCTCTGAGGTCATATAGTCTATCACACCCATGTTTGCAGATTCATAGTATCCACTTTGATATTAAAGACTTGGAGAGGTATTGCAGGAGAGGAACTTGTCTAAAGGTATTTAAGTGGCCGTTTACAACACTTGCGATTTGACTCACTATCCCTTTGTTGACTAACATCTACTAATATCTGTGAAACTTGTAGTGAGAAAGGCGGATTTTGTTGTTGTTGTTGTTTTCATTTTTTTTTAATGTTTTTATTTATTTTTGAGACAGAGAGAGACAGAGCATGAGCAGGGGAGGAGCAGAGAGAGAGGGAGACACAGAATCCGAAGCAGGCTCCAGGCTCTGAGCTGTCAGCACAGAGCCCGACATGGGGCTCTAACTCACAGACCGTGAGATCATGACCTGAGCTGAAGTCGGAGGCTCAACCGACTGAGCCACCCAGGCGCCCCCGGATCTTGTTTTTCAAAAGCAAAGCCTCCAAGTCAGACAGTTCTGCCACTTAATTTGTGAAGCTTAGTTCTCTCATCTGTTAAAGGAGGCTAATAGTCACCATCTAGATTATTGCTTTGAGGATCCAGTAGGAGAATCTATGTACAGGGCCAACACAGTATCGTTCTATTTCTGTTTCCTCATCCTCCTCATTTTTTTCAGGAATTCAATAAGTACATATTTATTTATTTTTGCATTTTTATTTTTAGTTTTTAATTGACATCCAAGTTAGTTAGCATCTACCGTAATAATGATGTCAGGAGTAGATTCCGGTGATTCATCTCCTCCGTATAACACCCAGTGCTCATCCCAACAGGTGTCTGCCTCAATGCCCTTTGCCCATGTAGCCCGTCCCCCCACCACAACCCCTCCAGTCGCCCCGTTTGTTCTCTATATTTAAGAGTCTCTTATGGAAAACAGAGATTTCTAAAGTGGGTCTTTCAGGGGTGCCTCGGTGGCTCAGTCGGTTGAGCATCCGACTTTGGCTCAAGTGAGGAACTCACGGTTTGTGAGTTGGAGCCCCGCCTCGGGCTCCATGCTGATAGCTCAGAGTCTGGCGCCTGCTTTGGATTCTGGGTCTCCCTCTCTCTCTCTTCCTCCCCTGCTCGCTCTCTCTCTCTCTTTCAAAAATAAATAAAGATTTAAAACTTTTTTTTTTTAATTTTTTTTTTCAACATTTATTTATTTTGGGGACAGAGAGAGACAGAGCATGAACGGGGGAGGGGCAGAGAGAGAGGGAGACACAGAATCGGAAACAGGCTCCAGGCTCTGAGCCATCAGCCCAGAGCCCGACGCGGGGCTCGAACTCACGGACCGCGAGATCGTGACCTGGCTGAAGTTGGACGCTTAACCGACTGCGCCACCCGGGCGCCCCTAAAAACTTTTTTAAAGTAAACTTTAAAAAATAAATAAAATAAAATAAATACAGTGAGTATTTCGAGTAAGGCTATTGTAATATTTCCATAGGCCATGGTTGCTAAAGTGCCCACCAGAGACATGCCCAAATCTCAGGGAAGCCCAAAGCCATGGCTTCGCACAAGTTATTTTTTGTTCATAGTTACATCTAATCCAGAAGCAAATGACCAATCGGGGTGATCGGATTCATAAGCAATGTGATCTAATAACACAACCGATATTCCAATTGTATCAAGAGCCCCACTGAGCAGAGCCAAAAAGTTAACCAAAGGCCACATTTCCCCTTAGAGGAGAAAGGGTCTTATTAGTTCCTTATCCACCCTTTTGCACTCCTCAACCAAAAACTGGGCTTCAAGGGAGAGAAGATTTGAATGTAATGACTTTTCGCAAAAAGGCCTCTGACACATGCAACTGTAACAATTTCACCTACGGGGAGGGTCAGGTAGTAAGTGGTCTGGAAGGGAGACATTTCCTTAGAGGCTTTCTTACAGTGCTAGTCCCCAAGTTGAGGGCATTTACCAACACTCAGAGATTTCTGGAAAGAATTGTATGTCATAAAGAGAAATGCTTTAAACTGAGAGAGTACCATGAATCACGTAGAAAGGATCCGAAGCCCAAGCCACAGAAGAGAAGCTGTACCAGCAGAAATTAGCCACAAATAGTAATTATTCAATTTCATACTAGCGTGTATCAGGCACCATCCAAAAGCGCTTCAGGTCTGTTTTATATAATTGCCCCAACAGCTCCGTGATCCCTACTCTTGATCCCCATTTTACAAATTAGGAAACCGAGACTTAGAAAAAAATGTACATAAACTTCTACAGAGTGACCCAGCAGTACAGTGTCAGAGACTTTTTAAACATCAGGTCAAGATGCCCGGGCCTCCATGACAGGATCTCATCTTCCGGGACTGTGAGATCCCCAGCCCTGAGCCAAACTTTTGTTAATGCTCTGGGCAGGTTGAAGGCGGGTATAAGCTATAATACCGTTGGGGAAGATAATTAAATTCTTGATATACGAGACACAACAAATCTTTCGACCGGTGCCAGCAGGTGACGTTAGCACTCAGGACGTGAGGTTTGTGGAAGACAACCTGTCACTCTTCAGATCAAATGTTTTCTGAAGCTATTTCTGTTGATGACATCTTTCTTCCACAGCGTGATGGGGGGAGAGTTCTTGCAAGTGAGAGGCGCCCCACTGGCGGCTAGGGATGACTTCCTAATGATGCAGGTCATGAGCTTAATAAATGACACTCCAAACCAATGAAGTATCAACCTCATAAAATCATTGTGAGGTGGCTAAGTCCTGTCGCCAACCCAAAATTCCCTTAATGGCCAGGGACGTTAAAATATCTTTTCGTCTCTGTGACACCTGTGACAGAGGAATGGGACGTTCATTTTTCAGAGCGTCCGCTGGTGGTCATCCCAGGACTGCAGGAGTGAAAACCGCTTTCTTCTGAGAATTCAGTGATACGTTAGATCTCGAGAATGTCACTGGGATTGGGAAAGTTTGGGGGACCGTCAACAGGAGTGGGGGTTTACAAATGCCTGTTTCTATCCCCAGTTCATCAGCTCGGGCTCCATCAGCATACAAGCACAGAAGCATCCTACAAAATCCAAGGTATGTTGAAATGCTTGGAACAATGCCAAAGATAAAAAGGTCCCCTGGCACAAACTGGAGAGAAGCGATAACTTCTGAGCCACGTGTTTTTTTGGTTTTGATTGTTTGTTTGCTTTTTGTTTTTGTTGTTGTTTGTGGTTTTTGTTTTTTTGTTTTGTTTTGTTTTGCTTTTGCGGGGGATGGGGGGCTTTTCCAAACGTTTGGATAGGAAAAAAAGTCATTTGATTTTTATAAGGACGCCCTCCAGTGTGTATTTTGAGTATGGGTGTTAAGGAGGGTGTAGCGTGAGGAACCGGTTTTATAAGGCGTCTGGTGTGAGGATTTGGATGGAATAAATCATTTCGAGCTCTCTAAAGGGGTAGATAGAACCAAACAAAACTGACCTGGGAAGGGAGGCAGGGTGGGTCGGGCAAGCTCAGGAGATCAGTGTTTCATTAGGGAAGGACATAAGACAGAACAACGTGTGAAAAGAGAATTGCCTTTGGCGAACCCAGGTCCAGACACTATCATTGGAGTACAGATCAGGCATCATTAAAATATACTTAAAGGAGTCACATTCACCTTGAGAACTTCTTCCCCCCATGGCGGTTAGGATCACAGTTCTGGAGGTCGCCTGCCTGAATTCAGGTTCTGACTACCTTACCACTGACTGTGTGGGCAAGTTACTCTGTGCTCACACTCCTCGTCTGAAAAAACATATGGCCACTAATACCACCTGCTTCAGAGGATTGTTCTGAGGGTTAAAAGTGAGTAAATGAGCAACAGTCCTTGGCGTGCAGCCAATGCTTATTAGCTCTGCAAATCAGAACCTACTGAGGAAACAAGGTGCTTTCAGGGACTGGTGAAAGAAGAAACTGAAAACTCTTGTTTCATCATTCAGGGAAAGGTCTGCCTGTCCTTTCAGCGGGTTTTGCCCCAGAAAGATAGGGCCAAAGAGACTCAGGAGGCTCTTTGGCTCAGCAGCCACTTAGTGGCTATAACATGGGCATTAAGCTTTTATATCTTTTTTTAACTTCTACCACTATTAACATAGTTTTCTATCGTAGCCCTTTTTCTAAGCTTTGCCGTGGATTTCCAGAGTGTACATGTGACCCGGGTGTTACCTGGCATTGCTTTTCCCCCGGGGATATAAGTACAGTGGACCTCAAAGCCCAGGAAGGCCCGATGAGATTTTGCAGATCCCTGAAACTGACACTCTCATGCTCCGGTTTCTCTGAGCATACAGCCCCAATTTTTTTTTTAAATTTTTTAATGTTTATTTTTGAGACAGAGTTCAAACGGGGGAGGGGCAAAGAGAGAAGGAGAGACATAGAATCTGAAGCAGGCTCCAGGCTTTGAGCTGTCGGCACAGAGCCCGACGTGGGGCTCGAACTCACGAGCCGCGAGATCATGACCTGAGCTGAAGTCAGAGGCTTAACTGACTGAGCCACCCAGGCACCCTGTATACTACTCCAATTTTGCTTCACAACATCAAAAAACAAAATAACCCACAGAAAAAACAAACCCAGGCATGAATGAACTTGGCTAAACTTGGCCTCTTGCTCAGTTTTCACAAAAACTCACAAAAAGTTTTTTTTGTTTTGTTTTGTTTTTGTTTTTTCCTTGAGGGATGGTGGGGGAAGATCATGACTCTAGTTTCCCAAGGTCTAGCCATGATCCAGCTCCCCCTGTAACTCTCCCCCCAACCTCCAGCCTCGCTGTTTTCCGCTCTCCCTTTCCCTCTCCTCACTCCACCTCAAGAAGCAAAAATAGACTCTTCTTCGAGACTCACGCAGAGTAACTCTATTTCCTTCTCTGGAAACACGTAACATCACTCCTCACAGAAGTGCAGACACTCTTCTACCTCAGGGACACTTGCCCAGGAGTTTCCCAGACTAATGTGGCTCAACTTCATAAGAAGAAATCAAATAATGATTTATCAGGTCATGAACAAATGCTGTGGAAAAAGTTATCCTAATAGCAGCACAATATTCTGTTATACTTAGGTACCATCATGCACCTGTAGTGTGCTCAAATTCCAATATTCAATCAAAAATAGTTACTGAGTTTCAGGCCTGTTCTGTGTATGTAGCATGTATCAATGAGCAAACAAAGATTGATTGCCTCCATGGAGCTGAGACCCTAATAGCAGAATAAAGACAATAAACATGACAAGTAAGGAAACAATACAGTGTGCTAGAAGGTGATAGCTGCCATGGAAAAAAAAGAGACATGATAGGGGCTGTCACTGGGGGCTGTTTAAGTAAGATTATCCAAGTTAAGTCTTTTTTTTTTTTTATTTATTTAAATCCAAGTTAGTTACCATACAGTGGAGTATTGGTTTCAGGAGTAGAATTTAGTGATTCATCACTTCCATTAAACATCCAGTCCTCATCTCAACAAGTGCCCCCCTTAATGCCCATCACCCTTTTAGCCCATCCCCTACACCCACCACCCCTCCAGCAACCCTCAGTTTGTTCCCCGTCTTTAAAAATCTCTTACAGTTTGTCTCCCTCTCTGTTTTTATCTCATTTTTCCTTCCCTTCCCCTATGTTCATCTGTTTTGTTTCTTAAATTCCACATATGAAGGCAATCATATGATATTTGTCTTTCTCTAACTAACTTATTTCACTTAGCATAACACACTGTAGTTCCATCCGTGCTGTTGCAAATGGCAAGATTTCATTCTTTTTGATTGTCAAGTAATATTCCTGTGTGTGTGTGTGTGTGTGTGTGTGTGTGTGTGTGTACCACATCTCCAAATTAGTCTTATTAAGTAGGTGGCAATGGGGCAGAGCTTGAGGGAGAAAGTTAGCCACACTGATAGCAGACAGGATAGCATCCCCAGCAAAGGGATCAGCCATTGGAAGAGCCACAGAGTGAAAGCATATCTGGCACCTTCTGGCAAGCAGGCCAGTGTGGCTGCAGCCAAGTAGCTTAGGTTATGGGAGCCAGATCCTGCAGGGCCTCTTTGATGAGCTCTTGCCCTGAGGAAAATAGGGAGAGACTGGAGTATTCTGAGGAGAGACTTGATGAGGGTGTGCCTTAAAAGGATCATTCTGACAGAAATTCGCTTGATGATTACATGCAAGAGGTGCCAGGTTAGAGGCAGGGAGGCCAGTTACAGGGCTACTGTCAGCCAGGGAAAAGATGGCAGTGGTTTGAACAGAATAGATGAAGCGGAGGAAATGATAAGTGTTTGGCTACTGGATATATTTGAAGGTGATGCCAACAGGATTTCCTGATGGGTATAGGGTGTGAGAAACAGAGCGAAACCAGGAACTAAAGCAAAGTTTTTGTCTTGAGCAATTAATTGAAAGGATTAATGAATTGGGAATCTCAAGATATGAAATAATATTGAAAGCAATGAGACTTGCCAAGACCTCCAGTGGAAGGGAAAAGCAAAGAAGAAAACAGAAGGCTGAGCCCTAGGGCACTCCAAGATGACGACTAGGAAGAAGAGGAGAAAAATAATATTTTTAGTTGAAAAGTTTCTTAATTTACTGTCATTTCCTAAAGAGTACATGTTACTTATATTTTATTCATGTGTATCCCTTCAAATTTAAGCTGAAAATGAATGTAGGGCATATGTCTTCTGCCCTAAAATTTTTAAAATTATTTTTTAAAAATAAAACCCATTAGGCTGCCCCTTAGTTGGGTATAGATATTTGAGTTCAACAACTGTTATTTTCTGAAAGCATACCAACTTATTTTCATGTTAACCTGGAAAAATCTTTAGCTGCCTAGGTAAACATATACCATGTTAATCAATTCTGGGTTTTTTTTAAGTGTACAATTCAATGATTTTTTTTTTTTTTTAGTGTATTCGCAGATGTGTGTGACTGCCGCCACAGTCAATTTTAGAACATTTTCAATGCCCCATAAACTAACCTTGTATCATTTATCTATTTATTGTTCCCCATACCACAACCCCCATTTTCCCTAGCCCTAGGAAACCACTAATCTGTGTTCTGTCTTTGTAGCTGTGACTAAACATTCATTAAAAAAGCAATCATAAAAAAAGCAATCATATGGGAATACAAGCTGGTGCAGCCACCCTGGAAAACAGTATGGAGGTGCCTCAAAAAACTAAAAATAGAACTACCCTACAACCCAGCAACTGCACTACTAGGCATTTATCCAAGGGATATAGATGTGCTGTTTCGAAGGGACACGTGCACCCCCATATTTATAGCAACACTATCAACAAGAGCCAAAGTGTGGAAAGAGCCCAAATGCCCATCGATGGATGAATGGATAAAGAAGATGTGGTGTATAGATACAATGGAGTATTCTCGGCAATCAAAAAGAATGAAATCTTGCCATTTGCAACTACGTAGATGGAACTGGAGGGTATTATGCTAAGTGAAATTAGTCAGAGAAAGAGAAAAATCATATTACTTCACTCATATGAGGACTTTAAGAGACAAAACAGATGAACATAAGGGAAGGGAAACAAAAAGAATATAAAAACAGGGAGGGGGACAAAGCAGAAGAGACTCATAAATATGGAGAACTGAGGGTTACTGGAGGGATTGTGGGAGGGGGGATGGGCTAAATGGGTAAGGGCCATTAAGGAATCTACATCTGAAATCTTTGTTTCACTATATGCTAACTAATTTGGATGTCAATTTTAAAAAATAAAAAGTAAAATTAACAATAAAAATATTTCAAAAATTTTTAAAAGTAATCATAAAAAAAGCAATCATATAATATGTAATTTTTCATGAATGGCTTCTTTCACTTAGCATAATGCTTTCAAGGTTCATCCATGTTGTAGCATATGTGAATTAGTACTTCATCCTTTCTATGGCTAAATAATATTCCATGGTGCTGCTATGCTACATTTCATTTATCCATTCATCAGTTGCTGAACATCTGGGTTTATTCCACCAGGAGTAGTGCTGTTGTAAACACGTGTGTACAATATTGTATTTGAACGTGTTTTTAATTCTTTTTAGTATATACCTACGAATAGAACTGCTGGGTTGTATGGTAACTCTGTTTAACCATTGAAGGAA